ATGCAGTCGTGGCTCGTAAAGACTCGATGTCTAGACTCTAACAGATAGCAGGTAGTATTGCGTAGGAAAGAGGTGGCACTTGTGATTGGTTATACGTCGCTGCGGATCGATAATTTGACACCAACAACGGAGCACCACGGCCTACCCACAGGTCCGCAAGCAATTTTCGACCAGATTTTGCTTCTTCCGGCGTCACGACAGCGTGTCCTCGGCGTGCGACCACCAATGACTGGCCCGAGCATCCGCGGGTCCGTGGCCGACTCACCAGAGAGCGGGGATGACCTTGCCGAGGATCCCAGCAGCGCGCTGCAGCATGCCGACCATCTGCAGTACGGTGTAGGGCACCAGGTGCACGGCGAGCTCGTCGGGCTACGTGGCCCACAGGCGCATTTATATGACAACTGGATGATGCATGGTTCACTGTCTTCTGCGTAATCGGCTTCATCGCAATCGTCTGCAATGGAGTATTCTCGCTGCTTGCCGTCCGCGTATCTCTTAAATCGCATACTCACCTGAATGGCTTCAGCAGTGTCGGCGCAGAGTCGGTTTCGCTTCTTGGTCATTATGTTCCCGGAGTCGGAGAATACGCACTCTGACGGAACAGAGGTTGCGACCTTTCCCATACAGAAGCGAGCAACCTTTGCCAGAAGGGGCCACTGACTTTCATGCATCTTCCACCAGTTTCGAATATCGGTCTTGAACTGGCCACTGCTGCTTTCCTGTACTCTTCCAACTGCTCAACCGCGGTGAGCTCGGAACCAGTTCGCGCGGCTGCCTGCGCTCCGAGGGGCTTTCAAAGAGGGACACTGGCTTGTTTGCTTCCCGCGCAACACGATCGGGGCGGGCATTTTCGAATGGTTTGGCGCCCATAAGTGCAAGCACTTTGTCGCGTCGCACCTTGAGTCGCTGCATCAAGACCGGCAAATCGTTTCAAGCGGGGATTTAAAACGTATGTAACGGCGCTTTCGTCGCACACCACCAAATCTTGGTGCACGTTCAGCTTTCCTTCCATTTCCAATGCAGCCTCGGCAACGATCGGCACATCTGACACCACGGCGGTTGCCACCGTGCTCTTCGTGTACACAAAAGTCTGGTAGACCATCTGCATGTTTGGATAAGACGAACCGCTCAGCTCAGTAGTGATGACATCGAACGTCTTGAGAAACGGAACCAGGGTTCTTGCCACTTCGAAGTCCTCAGGGCTCAGTAGGTGCTCTCTCGCTTCCGACTTCCGGTGCAGCTGGTTGACACCATTAGCCAGCTCCAGTTGGAGCAGCGACTGCATCATCGCATACGAGCTGTTCCATCTGGTGGAGATATCAGCTGTCAGCTGTATGTCTTTCAGGGCAATTTCAATATGCTGATCGTTCGAGGCTTTGACGAGATCCTTCGCAGCGGCATTGAGGTTTTGGTTCTGTTTACTGCTGTTGCGGATGAAGTTCACAAACTTGCGCAGTTTGTCAAGGTGCTTTTTCACACCCGGTGC